GTCTGGACTTGTCTGGGCACCAGTAGTGGCTCTAAAGCCACATCTGGGCCTTGGCTGGCAGCAATCTGGGCTGTCTTGGGCACTGACACCAGTGCCAACAGGCCCCGTCCCGATCTCATGCGTGATTCCAGCAAGAGAGCCTCGAATTTTCACATCTCTGAGAAAACTTTCATACCACGCCTCACAGCTAACCTCAGGCTCAACCAGCCACTGACTCCTCTCCCTGCCCAGGCGAAGTCCCCAAGAAAAGCCCAAATCTGTCTCCCCCACTCCATCTTCCCAAAGCATTTTTTAAATGGCTTTCTTCTAACATCCAAATCTGGGTTTTTCACTTTCCAGGGGGGTCCGTTTGCTGCAGGGGTGCAGTCTTTCAGGGACACTGAGAAAGAAGTTTGCTTTGTGGTTCCATAAGCCTCGATGTTTTATAGAAGGAAGATGATGTAAAATCAGAAACTTTATTTTAAAGCTTGGTAAATATGTGCATATGTCTCCTGCAACTGGGGACGCTAGGAAGGCAGCATCTGAACATTGGCTGCTTTGAAAAGAGACCAGGAGAAGGGGAGAAAGGGTCAGCCAGGGGATGAGGTGATGGAGGGAACCCCAAGTCCACTCCTTCTAAATTCTCTCTTCAGCATCCATCTGTTTCCCTGAAAAGTCAGCTTGGCTCCTAGGCCTGAAAAGTCTAGTTGTTTATATCATGTCTATAAGTGTCAGTGTTTCTGTTCAGGGTTTATTTTCACCTGGTTCCAGATAGAAGAAGCAAAAAGAACTCTACACTTCCTGTGTTTGAGGTGCTCAGGCAAGGCAGAAAATGCCTGCTGAAAGTCATTGATCAACAATGTTTCGTTTGTACACGCACTCATTTGTACACGCACTCATTTGTACACGCACTCATGTGTACACGCACTCATTTGTACACGCACTCATTTGTACACGCACTCATTTGTACACGCACTCATGTGTACACGCACTCATGTGTACACGCACTCATTTGTACACGCACTCATTTGTACACGCACTCATGTGTACACGCACTCATTTGTACACGCACTCATTTGTACACGCACTCATTTGTACACGCACTCATGTGTACACGCACTCATTTGTACACGCACTCATTTGTACACGCACTCATTTGTACACGCACTCATTTTCTGGCAAGTGATTTTAAGTACCAAGTTCGCCTTAACTTTTCACTGCACTCATTTTCATCCTCGTGGCCAAAATAGCTGTATTGACTCTACAGTCTGAATTAAAGGAGGGTGAGCTGATCGACCTTTAGGAAGCTATCCTTGATCTGGCAAGAATTTCCATCTTTATGCACGTAGCGTGAGGCTGGGGAGTTGCTAGCAAGAGAAACAGAGACTGTTCTCTTGGAGGGACTTTTATAGCTTTCATTGGTTTGGGTCACAAATGCATATTTTATTTTTAAGGAAGTATGATATTCATCGCAGAACCACCTCTAAATATGTTACCCCTTGCCGTGCCTTATTCTTCGCTATGGAAAGATCTTTTTTGCCTGAGATCAGCTATGGCTTGAATATTGCTAAGAATGAAATTCAAAGTTGCTTTTTTTCTTAAATCCACACTTCTTTGGGGGTGTGTGGGGAGGGGGAAACAACTGCTTAATGAAGTTTCTCACACAGAAGCAAAAAGAGAAAAGCCAAAATATATTCAGTGTATCCAGCAGTTCCATGTTGAATTTTTTTTCCCTTATTGGTTGAGGGGGGTGTGTAGGAGGGTGGTGGGAAAGATCTGAAAAGAAGCTGTGAGTCTTTGCTGAATTAATGATGACTTCTCACTGCAAAATGCTGATTTATAATCTCTTCACCATACTAGACTGTTTCCAGACTTGGGGCGGGGCGGGGGGAAGTTTGCTAAATGTATTCATAATTACATGCACAGTTTCAGACAGCTGAATATAAGTGATGCTTGTGCTGTTGCGAATGCTCACCACTAAAGCAGAAATCGTTTCACATTTAGCACTAAATTCTGTCTGATTTTGCACACGTAACAAGTCAGTAATTTTAACACTCAGCTTCGTCGCCTCGATTATAGTTCAATATCTTGGAGAAACAGTCAGCGTTCCAGCCTCGTTAATTCACGTAAAACACCCTATTTGTGGAAGTTTCATTAAAGGCTAATTTGATGAGATATCCTTATTTAGCAAAGCAAATAGGATTTGACAGTCAGCTCCGGGTGGCAATTCAGCAAAGCACAAACACAATTCACAACGTGACAATTTCCTATCCTCGAGCCTTGCTGGAATTGTGGACTCCTGAAAATTGTGCTGTTTCATCGTGTCCCATACTAAAGAGAAAGAACTCTGGAAGTAACTGTTTTTGCCAAGGCAGCACAAACGTCATCTGTGTGTACATGTGGCCTGTCTTTCAAAATACGAAATCTATCAAGAATGCTGTGTTCAGAAGTTTTCTTCAGGTACAGCTCACTTTTCTATTCCCTGCAGTGTAGACTGAATTTAAATCTAGACTTGCAAATAGCTTAGGGTGTGTGGATGTCTATATAGGTTATGACTAAATAGGCTGTGTGTGTGTGTGTGTGTGTGTGTGTGCGCGCGCGTGTGTGTGTGTGAACACACTGAAGGTTCATGTTCCTCAAGGGGCGTTTATTCCCACTACCCATGCTTTGCAGACATCCCCTGAACATATTACCCAGCCTTTTATAAAATGCCTGGCTGGGCGCAGTGGCTCACACCTGTAATCCCAGCACTTTGGGAGGCCGAGGCAGGCGGGTCATGAGGTCAGGAGATCAAGACCATCCTGGCTATCAGGGTGAATCCCCAACTCTAGTAAAAATACAAAAACTTAGCTGGGCATGGTGGCACACGCCTGTAATCCTAGCTTCTTGGGAGGCTGAGACAGGAGAATCACCTGAACCCAGGAGGTGGAGGTTGCAGTGAGCCGAGATCCGGCCACTGCACTCCATCCTGGGCAACAGAGCAGACTCCATCTCAAAAAAAAAAAAACGCAAAAACAAAAAACACCTTCAACAGCAAAGTAGCAAAGAGTCACAGAGACGTGTTGCAATTCCAGGTGGAAGCAAACAGCTGGTTGCTCTTAATTCAACAAATGGAAAGACAAATCTAATGACATTACAATCCATAATTTCAGGAGTGCCTTATTTGGGGGTTTCAAACACTTTCCCACAACTGACATCCTACGAATTCCTTTCCAATCCAATCCTGTCCCTTAAACCACTGTGGGGGTTGTAGGGGGGATGTACTTTCCCTTCCTTGCATCGTTTTGCGGCCTCCCAAGGAGAAAACACACTCATAAGAATACTGCCCTCGAAAGGACCTTTTAGTTTCATGGAAAGTAGCAAACCTCTCCCTGCCTTCTCCCCCCAGCCGGGTTTTAGACGCGCTGCCTGGGGATGGTAGCTCTCTACCCTCACCCTCCCGGGAATGCCGGGGCCTGAATCCCTCGCTGTCCAGAATGACCCCAAAAGCGGGACTTTGAGGGCCAGTTGGATAAAAAATAAACTCATCTCGCCCTCAAAACCCCGATTCTGGGACCACAGCCTCTAAAACCTCTTTCTCAAGAAGTGAGTCCCCTTCACGGTTGATAGCACCGGGCTAGGCCGCCTTGGAGGCAGGAGTTTGGAGAATCTCGGATCAGTGAAGGAACTGATACCGGGTGTTCCCTCGGGGACGCCGGTTCATCTCACCAAAATGCCAGGGGGTCGCTGTGGGAGAAGGGGGCATTTGCCCACCCCATGGCTGAGGGCAGGAGAATCGCTTATTCCGGGGTGTCTCTTCCCTCCCGGATCAATAACCAATCTCGCCCAGCAAACAGGCCTGGAAGCTTCCCAGAGAACACGAGGGGCGCCCCAAATGTCCCTTAGCAGCGCATAAATCGGGTGTCCCATGTGCTTCGTACAGTCTCCCCCACCCCCATCTCCAGCTAAATAAAGTTTGGTTATTTGTGTCCTTAATCGTCTCTCATTAAAGTCAAATTTGCTGCGCGTCCAAATTGGGGGAAATGATTTCCATTTTAATAGCTCAATTGGCCTCTGGGTTCTGGAAAGGCCACTCCCCCACGCACCTTTTCTCCTCATTTTAACCCCCTCCTTTTTCACAACTTCTCCTAAAAATAAATTATAAATATGGATGTGTCCTCAGAGGACATGAGCGGCGCATTCCAACGCTCCGCTTGGTGGGGATTGGAAGCAAAGAGAAACCAGAAACGCCACTCCCCCCACTCCCAAATCAAAATGCCTTTTCCTTTTTTTTTTTTTTCTGTTTTCTAACTTCTTTTCCTAACTTGGTGTCGTGTCAGGCACAGACACCCCGCTCCGCACCCCGGAACCTAGGTTTTTTTTTTGCCCCTGTCCTGCAGAAGCTAAAGCCAACGAGCCATGGCTGCCTGCTCTTCGAGGGGAGGGCGCAGACAACTTTATTTGGGGGCGACGGCGGTAACTCTCCGGGGACGGTGGTTCCCGGCTGGTCCGGAATCCCCGGGGCCCGGCCCCCGCAGTCGCCGCCGCCCATGCCAGCGGGGACCGGGCGCACGTGGAGCAGCGGGCGCGGCCGGCCTGCTCCGCGCGCGGCATTGAGATCGGGGTCACGCAGCAAGTCAGTTTCCCGAGCGGGCTTTCCGGGGTGGGGGCGGGGAGGCGGGCGCTCCACCGCCTTGTCAATTTCCAAGCCCCGACAAGAGGGAGTCAGGGGGCGGCCTCGCCCCCTTCCCACCTCCTGGCCTCACATGCCCTCCTGGGGAGCGGGGGAGGGGCCGGGGAGAGGGGCCGAGGGGGAGCCTGGGGTGGCGGCAGTGGCGGCGATCGCAGCCCAGACAACCGTCTCGCGCCGGGTCCCGGGAGAGCCGCGCGCTCCCCTGCCGCCACCACCCCGCTCCAGTTCCCATCCACCCCGCCGGCAGCCGCCCCACACCCCTACGGCTTTGGGGGCCTGGGCACCCACCTGCCGCGATCCCTGCCCTGGCTGGGGGAAGGTGCCAGGCGGGAAGAAGGGGAGCACTCACCTCCGGGGGTGCAGGGTCCCCCTCCCCCCGGGCTGCGCCTTCCCAGGCTCCTGGCAGGCTTGCGCCGGGCGGGGGGCGCCCCGCGGGCCCTGCAGCCTCCGCCTCGATTCGAGCCCAGCCTTAAATCCTCCACTGTGGAAAGCTGGGTACTTCCAGAAAAAAAATCCGCCCCTCCCCAGACGAGATCCAAGTGATGGGCGGGGAGCGTAGAAAATCCTTTTCTGCAGAGAGCGCGCAGCCGACGGGGCTGCACCCGGCCTCCACGGTCCGCTGCCGCCACAAAGCCGCGCCCCCGGTCTCCCCCGCCCCCCCAGCGCCCTATGGCCGGCCCGGGGCGGGGGCTGGGCCAGCCGGGGGTTGGCCGCGCTGGGGAGGCGGCGGGGCGGCTCCTCCCCGGCCCGGGAGAGAGGACGAGAGCTTGGAAGCCGAGCGGGCCCGAGTGGGGGCTGGGGCGGGGGCGGGGGCCGGGGTGGGGGGGCGCCTTCCTAGAAACCCTCGCCAAATATAGTCAGCGGATAGGGGCATTCCTAGAAATGCGGCGGCGGCGACGTCAGCCTCGACCTGGGAGCGGGGGACACAGCCCGGGGTGCTCCAAACGGGGGGAACGGAGGAGGGGAAAAGAATCTCCACTTCCAGTACCACCGCAGCCCGGAGACGAAGCCGAGACCCGGCTTCCCTCCCGAGGGGCGTTAGGAAGTCTTCCAAAGGCGCTTGAGGTATCCCGGAGCTGGGGGCGCATCAACTGAAGATTCAGACCCGGTCTGCCCCCGTCTTTCGGGAACACCCAGTGCCAGTGCCAGTGCCAGTGCCAGCTGGCGCTTCTGGCCCTTCCCCCAATTTTCAGCACCACCCCCCCTTACACACACAACCCCCGTGAACAAACAGTAAAAGTAGGCGCAGCATCAGGCCGGGTCCCCAAGCTTCCTACACCCACCCCTGGGCGGTCCCTCACCTCCTCTGGATGGCTGGAGCCCCTGGATCCCCAGGGTTGAAACTGCACAGACATGCCGTGTTCCCAAGAACTCCCCCAAATACCAACCCACCTTCGGGCCAGAAAATAAAGTTATGTTTCCTCCTCCCCAGTCCAATGTCACTGTTGCTGCTTCCGGGGCTAAGGGCTCTTGGAGAGGTGCTGGAAATTGGGGGTAGGGCATAAGGGTGTCCCCGCCACCTGGCAAAGATCTGGCCTCTGGCGCTGACACTCGCACCAGACACAGTTGTAATACTTTTCATTTCCCGGCGGTAAGGGAGACGCCCACACCCCCACCCCAGCAGGTCATCCCCCTCCTAAAATCTGCTCCACCCAGACCCCTGCCCAGGGACCCCCAAATCTATCACAGAGGTGGCCTCTCTTTCGCAAAGAGAATCCACATAACTGAGACATGACTTGTCCCTCTCCAACGCCCAGCGTCTCCGTGCGAAGACGTGACTGGCCTGAACCTCGCAGAATCATAAAAAATGTATTTTGCTGTCCTCTGTTGGCCAACTCGGGTCACACAAAACATACCACCCAACCCAGCGGGCGGTCCTGATGCCGCAGAGGGGTCCTAGGGACCCCAGCCAGAGGGAGTAAGCTGCACTCCTGTCCTCCAGCCCTTGGCGTCCCTGCCCTCTCAGTCCCCTTTCTTATCTTGCAGCACAGATCTTGCTGGTGTCCCCTTTTCCTCATTGGGCCCTAAGTCCAGTAATCTGGAGAGATTTCTTCCTTGTTCTAGGGGAGGCAAGGACGGCTGTGTTCACTCTGGACCAAGGGCACAGGGACCCCCAAAGGATGGTTTTTCCAATAGCAACTTGGAGACGAAATGTAACAAAAAGGCAACAGCTGATCACTGTTAATAACAGACCCATTCCCCCAGCCCCAGAAGACCTAAGCACATGAAGACTACTAACTTACTGAACTGATCCATTTTCCAGATGAAAAGACTGAGGCTAGGCCAGGCATGGGGGCTTATGCCTGTAGTCCCAGCACTTTGGGAGGCCGAGGCGGGTGGATCACTTGAGGTCAGGAGTTTGGGACCAGCCTGGACAACATGGTGAAACCCTATCTCTACTAAAAATACAAAAAATAATCGGGCGTGGTGGTGAGCATTGGTGGTCCCAGGTACTTGGGAAGCCGAGGCAGGAGAATGGCTTGATCTTGGGAGGCGAAGGCTGCAGTGAGCCAAGATTGCGCCTCTGCACTCTAGCCTGGGCAACAGAGTGAGACCCCATCTCAAAAATAATAATAATTAAAAAAAAGACTGAGGCTTAGAGGTCAGTTGTTCATGGAACTAACACCTGCTTGCCCTCTGTGTGCCAGGCACAGAGCTGCTGCTAGAGCCGCCAGAACTACGGTGTCCAACAGCACAGGTCCCTGCCCTTGAGGAACCAGAAGTCTAGGGGAGAGCCTTGAGTCAACAGGTGAGCTGCCATCATGGTTCAGGCACTGTGGCAGAGTGAGGCTGGACTGGGGGTGTCCTACCCTGGCCCTCCTGCAGGGGTTGTCTCTCTCCAGCCTGCGGCATCCTCGCCAGCTTTGCACGGTGCATTGAAAGAGAGAGGCTGTGTCTCCCCCTGCTGCATGTCGCCAGCTTGGGGTCCCTGGGCACCGCTTCACCTCTCTGGGCCTCCATTTCCTCATCAGTAAAGTAGGAGTCACAAGGCCTGCCTTATAGGACGTTTTCTTTTTTGAGACAGAGTCTCACTCTATCGCCCAGGCTGGAGTGCAGTGGCGTAATCTTAGCTCACTGCAACCTCTGCCTCCTGGGTTCAAATGATTCTCCTGCCTCAGCCTCCTGAGTAGCTGGGATTACAGGTGTGCGCCACCACACCCAGCTAATGTTTTGTATCTTTAGTAGAGTAGTAGAGTTACGGTTTCACCATGTTGGCCAGGCTGGTCTCAAACTCCTGACCTCATGATTTGCACGCCTTGGCCTCCCAAAGGGCTGGGATTACTGGCATGAGCTACCACACCAGGCTGCCTTATTGGACTTTTAGGGGGACTGCTTGAGACAGACACCCTGTAGGAGCACATGCAACAGGGATTGCTTGAGCTCGATGTTATCACCTGGAGGAGGGGGTGTGAGAGCTGAAACTGCCAAGAAGGAAAACACTGGGGCTGGGCTCCGTGGCTCACACCTGTGATCCCAGCACTTTGGGAGGCCAAGAATCACGTGAGGTCAGGAGTTTGAGACCAGCCTGACCACACAGCGAAACCCTGTCTCTACTAAAAATGCAAAACTTAGCCAGGTGTGATGGCATGCCTGTAGTCTCAGCTATGCCAGAGGCTGACGTGAGAGAATCGCTTGAACCCGGAAGGCAGAGGTTGCAGTGAGCCGCGATTGCACCATCACACTCCAGCCTGGGCGACAGAGCAAGACTGTCTCAAAATAAGAAAATGCTGGGCTGGTGGGAGGGGTGGAGTCGAGGCAGCAGGCACAGTATGTGTAAAGGCCCGGCCACTCTGAGGAATGAAAATAGCTCAGCAGTGCTGGCTTGGGGGCCTCCAGGTGCTGTCCCTACCCACATCTGTGCCGTGAGCCACAGGATACTGGAAGCTCACCTCATCTCTCCAATTCAGGCACTGCCCGAGCTCTGGGACACCTAGATGAGTGTAGAAGGAAAAACCAGGCCGCCGAAGGCAGCCAGGGCCCGGCCTTTATCTTGCAATTGAAATCCCCTTCAGAGATGCCCCTGGATTCTTCTGAGGCCTGCCCTTGCCAGGCCTGGCTCGGTTTCCCGTGACTCAAGTGAGTGGCGGCCTGAAATCCAGTTCAGCAGTGGAAGCACCGCCAGACTCTAGAGAACAACCCAATCTCAGGCCAGAAACCCCGGAGGCCCACCCTGGCCTTCTCCCAGGAAGGAGCCCCACCCCCACCCAGGTTTCTGGCCCCAGGGCAATGCCAAGGCCCCAGCTAGAACTAGTGCTCGGCCACACCAGGGAGAAGGAGCCCTGGAGCCCACACCAGGGAGAAGGAGCCGCAGCTGGGCTGAGCCTCTGGGAAAGGCCTGGACTTCAGGCTCCCAGGCCTGCAGAGAGAGGGTGGGCACAGGCCTCACTCTGCCTGCCTGTGGGTGCTTTCCTTGGAGCCTGGGGACAGGGGACAGGAAGGCACTAGCTCCCAGTTACTGCCACCTCCTGAGCCTCCCAAAATAACCTCAGTGAGAAACTTCCCAAGCAAACATTCAAAACGTATTGTGCGATCGGTGTTACACACTTGCGTTGAACGGATGTAGGCTTGTAAAACACGGACACACAAGGTGCCATTGCCAGGAGACGATGGTGGCCGTGGGACAATGGTGGAATACAGGCGCTTCCAGAGGGATCTGTGGGAAAGTTTGTTTTTTTTAATTGTCTTTTTTTTTTTTTTTGAGACAGAGTTTCGCTCTTGTTGCCCAGGCTAGAGTGCAGTGGCACAATCTCAGCTCACTGCAATCTCTGCCTCCCAGGTTCAAGCTATTCTGCCTCAGCCTCCCAAGTAGCTGGGATTGCAGGCATGCACCACCACACCTGGCTAACTTTTTTTTGTATTTTTAGTAGAGATGGGGTTTTACCATGTTGGCCAGGCTGGTCTCAAACTCCTGACCTCAAGTGATCTGCCCACCTCAGCCTCCCAAAGTGCTGGGATTACAGGTATGAGCCACTGTGCCCAGCTTGGGACACAGGTTGAAATGGTGTGATAGCTGACTTTCTCGTTCAACCCCATCAGAAGGAGGCTGTGATACCCACCCTGTGATACCTTCTGGAGAGAATGTTAAGAATCTAATCTAGGCCTGACTCAGTGGCTAATACCCATGATGGTGGAACTTCAGGCAAGGGTGGATGGAGGGCCACCTGAGGTCAAGAGTTCAAGATCAGCCTGAAAAACATGGTGAGACCCTCTATCTCTACATAAAAAAAAAAAAAAAGAAGAAGAAGAAGGCTGGTGCAGTGGCTCATGCCTGTAATCCCAGCACTTTAAAAGGCTGAGGTGGGTGGATCACCTGAGGTCCAGAGTTCAAGACCAGCCTGACCAACATGGAGAAACCCCGTCTCTACCAAAACCACAAAATTAGCTGGGTGTGGTGGTGGGTGCATGCCTGTAATCCAAGCTACCTGGGAGGCTGAAGCAGGAGAATTGCTTGAACCTGGGAGGCAGAGGTTGTGGTGAGCTGAGATTGCGTCATTGCACTCCAGCCTGGATGACATGAGCAAAATTCTGTCTCAAAAAATAAATATAAATAAGTAAATAAAAAGCCAGATGTGCTGGTGGGCACCTGTAGTCCAGCTACTTGTGAGGCTGAGGCTGGAGGATCACCTGAACCCCGGAGCTGGAGACTGCAGTGAGCTATGATGGCATCACTGCTCTCCAGCCTGGGTGACAGAGCAATATCTTGTCTCTGAAAAAAAATCTAGTGTAAAAATCTTTCTGAATACAAGGTTTTAGGTCA